GCGATTGAAGTCTCTTGTTGACCCGCCGCTTTGCCAAGGCATTCACGTTCTCTTCTATAAGGTCGCATGTGACGGTGACACGTTGCATGTTGGCAGAAGTTCCACAGGTTGCTCGTGTGAAGTTTTAAGATTTATCTACGGCTCTGTGAGGATTTCGTCTGGCCACTGTGGCTCCCTCCCAGATGTAAAAAAAGAAAAAGGCACGCATCTAATATACCGACCGCTGACCAAACGGTCCCAAGAACAAACTTTCTCAAAGTATCAAGCCTCAGCAAGGCCCTCCTGGGCAAAAGCACATCAACACTTTCACAAAACGTGTCTGTACAAAAGAGCAATACACGCACAAACATACCACAAAGGATTGACCCACCACAGCATTTTGGTTAATAGGTAAAAACGTTTTTTCCCATTAAAAAAACCCATGAGGAATAATTTTTGATTCGGATTAAAAACCCCGTCGCACGTCATGGGAAGAGGAGTAGAGTCAAGAGATGTAATGTATGGGAAAAGCGAAAGGAATGGGAAAGGATGCCAAGACAAAAATCCCCAAGGCAAGAGGGTAAGGGCTCAAGATTTAGCAGAAGGAAGAAAGACGCGTTGGACAGGGAGATATAAGTAATAACCGGGCCAAGATGTGTGCTATAAAACTAAACTACTATTTTATTTACCATGTAAGGCGGCCTGGCCACAAATGATATCGGAACTCAGTTGCTTATCATGTGGACATTTATAGCAAGCAAATACTCTAAATGCATGTTTCTAAATGTGGAGAGAAACCGCGGGGGGGGGGGGGGGGGGACCCAGAGAAAGATGAATGCGACCACGGGGAGAACGTGCAAACTCCAAATATACCAGCGTCAGGGTCGTGATCGAACTCACGACCTCCTGTATACCAGGCGAAGGAGTTAACATCTCGCCACCGCAGATGGTGATGAGAGGAGAGGGAACACAGCAGGAAATGCGGGAGCAGAAGTGAGCAGTGTTTTTTTTTTAATTAAGGGCCGGGGAGAGATTCAGAGTGGGGGGGTGACCAAATACGTCAGCTGATTTACGGGAGGCTTGAGCTTATTTAGAGATATATGCGAGATTCTGGGCTACTGTTTGATAATCACCAGATTGGAATGAACGGCTGGGGATGTGGAGTAACGAGATGCTGGAGTGGCATTCGGGTTGCTCAGGGGGTTGGCGTGGTGGTCCTACACTCACGTATTGAGCGCGCGCGCAAGTACGTGCAGTGTGCGTGCACATCAGTACTTACACGGTGTCCATAAGGATGTGTGCATGCGCTTATAATGTGCATGCAAGAAGAATATTTTGTACGTGCAGGTGCTAGGGGTTGGTTATTGCATTGTTAGATGGTGGTGGCTTTGGGAGGCGTTCATTGAACAATGGCTTAATCATAGAGATGATGATTTACCATACAAATAATTTATAATCAGTCATGTGCATACTTTTGGGTTCGCCTTAATATGACACGGCATGGAGCAACCTTTTGGTGGAAACAAAGCCCATGGGTTTATATTAGTCAATCCATGGATACCCCCAATGTCCACGGAGTAATATATTCCCGAAGCCAGAGCTCCACTTCACAGTGGCTAGCTTTTCTCTAGTCTGGTCAACCAAGCGCTAGCCGATGTCATCCTAAATCACCATGTTCTAAGTACAGACCAGAAAAAAAAACCTCATTCATAAGCAATGTAACTGTAATTGAAAATCAATAATAATTTCATGCATATTCATTGTACACAGTTCTCAGAACTCACTGGCCCATACTTGCATAAATACATTACAAGCCCATAAGTATGTACCGGACATACATACTTAAAAAATTATTGTAAAAAAAACAGATCAGCCTTCATCACGAATGTTTGAATGTAGTGGCCGTGGAATCCTTGTAGGTACGATAATTGTGCAGCCCTGCAACTGCGTCCTCATGCCACTGCTGGCCAGACGGGCCTCACCCACTCGAAGGAGTTCTCGAGGGGACAATTGGACAATGGGCCTAAGAGGTAGGCGTCACCACAGTTTACCCCCACCACACGGAGGCCTGCCGATTGACTACGCTTCGGCGAACTCATTTATGCCACTGGTTGGTCAGAGGCAGTGGTTGGGTGGAGGGCGAGGTGGAGGGTGAGGTGGAGGGGTGGAGAGAAATCTGACCCCCATTGTTTCCGCTGCCTCGCTGGGAGGTTGAGTCAGACACGGAGACCTGTGAATTGCGAGTCCAGGGTGCAAACCATTCACACAGCTTGCAGGTGCCGTAGGTAACGCCCCTTGCAACACGACCAGCATTTCGACTGAATAAGCCAGAGCTCTTCATCGCAAGGCCCGCGTGGCCAACGGCGGCCGACTGGTGGCCTTTAGTGCGGCCCCTGACAATACACAAATGGTCAAAACACCCCTATCATCATCATCGTGCTGCTTTCAAACCCCCAACGATTTCAAATGTGTGGCGGCTCTCACACTGATGATGTCTTATCGACGAAAGTGCCCCCCCTCCCCCCCTCTGAAAATGTATGAAGAACGATGGAATAAGCAACACAACTGTTTACAATCTTAAAATATCATAGACATACGGGTCATCATCTGATTTGCGATTCGTTGGGACTGCCTACACTGTGGTATTTCCAAAGAAGAGAATGATCGTGTTATTTATCCATTGCAATCAAGTGACAGTGATCCCGATGCAAGATTGTGATCGCGAAATGACCGTACCTCTAGAGCCTGTGTCGCTTGAAAACCCGGCCTTGTTAAGAGGTGGGCCTCTAAATGTCTCTGAAAAGTAGGTGCGGGTTCATTGTTTTAAACATGTGTCGGGTTGGCCGTTCCCGAAGCCAGGGGCTGATAGGTACTGGCATGACTAAATCCTGACATGTACACCGATTAGGTCGGGGATTCGATCCTGACCCTGACGCCTGCTGCTATATATTTGGAGTTTGCGTGTCTCTCTCCCCGTAGCCGCGTGGATTTTATTTCTCCGGTTTAGACTATTTAGATTTTTTTTTGCTGCTCTAAATGTCCAAATGATGGTGCCACTTTGTTGAGCTATCATTTGTGGCCAGGTCGTTTTAAAAAAAATGATTTAATAACTCAGTGGGCTTTGTCTGCTAGGATGGGGATGGATTAGTTGTATTTTGTGTGTGTCTGGGTGAATTGTTTACCTTTCTTGCACTTTGCACGCCTATCGTGTTTTTGTAACTGTTTGTTGTTGTAACGTTCTTACCCGCCCCAAGCGGACATCTGTGATAAAGAGCTTTATAGCTCATCAGATTCTTCCAGTATAAATATTCTGATTCTGAATTAATAGTACCACTGATTATTATTCCATACCTGCACTGAATGGCGTGAGCAGCAATGTTTTTAGATTTCTGGGTGTTGTATGTGATGGGGTTACGGGGGCATCTGCAGCTACTTGACCAACTTAACAAAAGAACCGATTCCTCACAGTGGCCAGGTGACTTAAGACATCAGTTCTAACCTGGCACGCATGCTAGCATGGGTTCGAATCCAGGCAGTGGACTGAGATTAAACTTGGTTCTCACGTGTAGTTACATTATCTCAGCCTGATCACCCATCACGCACAACAAAAATATTCACATTCTTGGTTCTTTCGGTAAAGTCACGGAGAAGAGAAATAATACAATTATAACGTTTCGATTGCAACACAAGCAATCATCATCATCAGGTGTGAAAAACCACAGCAAGAAATTTGACACCTGATGATAATTGCTTGTGTTGCAATCGAAACGTCGTGAGAATTTATTTTTTAATTATTGTATTATTTCCCTTCTACGTGACTTTACCGAAAGAACCAAGAATATGAATCCCTGCAGTCACGAAAGTCCAGCTTTGAGAATTAAAAAGATCGGCTTTACCGTCGCGCGTCAAACATTACTCTGTAGCAGGGTGGAAGGATGACTGATAGTGTACGTACGTTGAACTTCTTTAGCACCGTACATAGCCAACCGTGATAATTGGATGTCCAGGAAATCTTTAATTCCGAATTCATCCACCGTGCGTTTGCCTTCAAATCGTGTCCAAAAACTGCACGTGGTCTTGCCTCTCCGTTATTGGCCATTTGTGATGATCTGACTGAGCTAACTGTACGTTGCCTGTCAGTGTAAACAACTGCCAATAGCATGATCTCCCATCATTGCGTGGGAAAATCCCAAAGTTCTACAAAGTTTGGACCAGCCGTGCGCATTGGTCCAAAAAACACATCAAGCTTCGGCATTTTAACGACCGAGGAGGCATCTCTGCTTGACTGCTCCGCAGCGGCAAGCACTGAATATATGCGAGCATTAACATTACAATAAAAAAATGTTTGGGGGAAGAAAAAAAAAAGACAGTGGTAGATTTTACTCGCAAACAAATATCGGCACAATCTTCCGGATCGCACGCCCTGAAGACTGCGAACGTGATCAGAGGCAGATTTTTCCGTAGATAATGACAACGCAGCTGGCAGCTCAGGTGGCGCTGTGGCAGGCCGCTCCCCGCTCACAATCGGGCAGAATGAGCGCTCTATTTTATTTGGGGGGATCAGCGTGACCCAAGGGGCCAGCAGCCTGCGCCTCCGGAGCCAGGTGCCGTGGCTCTCGGAGGAGTGCAGGCGCGGCTCTTGAAATTCGGGGAAAGAAAATTGGCTCTTCTTGTCATAACTTGATTGGGCGCTTTCGTGGCTGCAGGAATTAACTCTTTGGTTTTTCGGTAAAGTCACGGAGAAATAATACAAAATAAAATTCTATGATAGCATACGACGTTTCGATCGCAACACAAGCAATCATCATCAGGTAGAGGAAACACATAACCGCAGAGATATATACACAGACCTTAAGTAGGGGGAATTAACACAGATATACCAGGGGATACAGAGAGACCGGAACATCACACTATCCCCTGGTATATCTGTGTTAATTCCCCCTACTTAAGGTCTGTGTATATATATATCTGCGGTTATGTGTTTCCTCTACCTGATGATGATTGCTTGTGTTGCGATCGAAACGTCGTATGCTATTATATAATTTTATTTTTTTATTATTTCTAGGTGACTTTACAGAAAAACCAAAGGGTCTACTTGTTATTTTGATTGCCGACCCCCTGACCATGGAAGTCCATTTCACCATGGGTAGGGGTCGGCAGCCTGCGGCTCCAGGGCCGCATGCGGCTACTCAAGGAACTGTTTCGTGACGTTATTTATGAAGGAGCGCCGTCTCGTGTTCACATCGCATTGCGGCTCCTCTCGAAATGTTTTTTTTGTTTTGTTATTTACAGAATTCGAAACAAATTAACTCACCCCGTTGTTTTCGTTGCCAGCTCCTGGCTTAACCCATCGTCGCAGTGGTCATCCTCCAGAGGCAACATTGGCTCAAGACCAGCAGCAGACACGGGCTCTGCCTCATGCTCGTTGCAAACAGGGACACACTGTGACCTAATTTATACATTCGACTAATCTGTTTGCATACAATGAACCCAAGTTCAGCTGTAATCATATCGTGAATGAACAGTCACTGATAAGCAGCTTGTTCTGTAAAAAAAATATGCATCGATTTCCAGCGAAGGAATGCATACCTACATATCAAACTCTTGATACTCATGTGTAAAGCAATCCCACGGACTTGAACCTGAATGTTACGTGAAACTCACGAACCCTTACTGACCCATCTCAGGCACAAGAGGATCGGCCGACTCGGGCCTCCTTCATAGCCTCGCCACCCTCTCTGGCGGACATCCGCAACGCAGACATCTGCCAAATTAGCGCCTGAATTCTGAAGCCATCTTTTATGACACATTCAGGATTGCCCTTCTTTGATCTTAAGTCACGTTGTCATTCCTTCAGCGAGCACGGCTTATACGAGATGAGGAAGCCGTGGCTCACGGTTGAATATTGTATCGTCGTTAGTTTTTGTTCGGCTTGGTTCAGCCGTGAAAGCCTCGCCCCGAGTCTCAAGGCTCTTTGTCGGGAGGTTGCCGCCAAGTTTTGCAATCCCAATCGAGGAGCTGCAGTGCAATGTGACGTACAACTCGGCACGCGATAAGGCACCGTGTGCTGGCTCTTTGACAAAAGGCACGACAGAAATGTGCACAACTATTGCATCACTATTATTATTATAAAAAAAAACATTTTTAAACAAATGTGCCAGTGGGGTTATTTTTCTTCTTCACATTCTTCTTCTTCACCTTCTTCTTCTTCTTCATACATCGGTTTCAGCGAGTGTACTCTGCCGGGTGGTGGTAGACTTAAAAAAAAAACAATGCCCTTCTGTGCCCTGCTATAGGCAGGCTATGTGGGTGGGAAGTTCAGAACTACTGTTCTATTGCTTTAGACAAGGAACCAATTTCAGATGAGTCAAAAGATCTGTATGGAATATGACAAAAGGCTTGTGGGAATAAATGTGTCAAGGGTTCAGGATCTGTCTTGGATGAGATGAGCGATCTGAATTGGCATGTACCTGAGTGGATGCATTGAGCATTTTGAAAGAGATCGATCGAAGGTTTTACTTTAATTGTATGAGATGATGCCTCTGTATCATATTGCGTTTTAACCGTGTCTATAACCGTGACCATTTTCAGTGTGCCACGGCTTGCTCGGAGTACCGTGACGTACCAAAGCATGCCAGAGCTTTCCGCGGCATGCCACTGTGCCAGAGAGCAGGAAGCAGCACCAACCGGCACCGCCACAGCGCGCCACAAAACTTGGCCCATCGTGCCACGGCATGCCACCGGCCCAGCTCACGTGACGGGGCTTGAGCCAGGCACGGTGGGCCACCGCGAACGTACGTGCGCACGTTGCAACTTCTCCCCCCGCGCCGCACGTAGCCAAACCCGCGCTAATCGCGGTTGGCATCGGTGCCGTCGAAGACGATGTTGCCGGCGCTGTCCTTGAGACGCAGGCGCCCCGAGGCGTAACGTGTCTCCTGGCGGCCGTCGGGAAACACCGTCTTGACGGTGCCGTCTGGGTACTCACGCCGCTTGTAGCGCGCCGTGTGCACCTCGCGTTGCCCGTCCGCAAACTCCATCTCGCGGTCGCCGTTGCTGCGAGGGCGACGAACGCGAACGCCAAGTCAACAAACGCAGCGCTGCGACCGTTAGCATTGCACCACGGCGGCGAGATGTTAACTGTGCCGCCGGGTATACAAGAGGTGGTTGGGGTTCGATCGCGACCCTGACGCCTGTATGCTTGGGGGTTTGCTTGTTCTCACAGTGTGGTCACGTGAATTTTTTTTCTCCAGGTCCTGCGGTTTTTGTCTCCACATTTAGAAACATGCACTTAAGAGTATTTGGCTGCCATACATTTCCACGTGATGAGCTACTTTGTTGAGCTTTTATTTGCGATAGCCAGGTCGCTTCTGAAAAAGAGCCGCATAGCTCAGTGGGTGCCTTACCTGGTAAAATAAAAATAGTTCAATAGTTTAAGTTTATTTCAACTACAAGCCACCAAAATACTCCTCGTTCCATGACCAGCTAGGAATCGTACTCGACGCTATGAATGGAACCGCAATGGCAGGCCAGCAATGGCGACGATCGCCCAGGCCTGGTTGGGTGCTAGCAGTGACGCTGGCGACCGTAGGCGAATGTGGAGGTGAGGGGGTTTGTCTCACGGCTGAGTGTGAACGACGGTGCCATCTGGACAGATCGTCTCCTCGCGCCCGTCCACATGCAGGTGCTTCACGGTCTGGTCTGGAAACACGATCTCCTTGCTTCCGTCCGGGTAGTGTTTCTCTGCATGTACACAAGCAGCAGGCGAAGCAGCAACAGCAGCAGCAGCAGCATCCACAGGAGAAGCAGTAAAAGCAGCAGCAGCAGCAACAGTAGCACCAAGCAGCAAAAGCAGCAAGCAGCAAAAAGCAACAGCGGAAAGCAGCAACAGCAGCGACAGCAAGCAAAAAAAGCAACAGCAGCGACAACAAGCAGCAGCAACAGTAGCAGCAGCAGCAGCAGCAACAAGCGGCAGCGACAGTAGCAGCAGCAGCATTCGCAGCAGCACCAAGCAACAACAACAGCAGCAGCAGCAGAATTAGGCGGGGACCTCAAGTGGGGGCTTGGTCACCATGGCACACGTGCCAGGCCATGTGGCGTGGTAAAGGCTCACATGGGGGGGGGGGGAGGTAAAGCGGGCGACCCGGGTGTTGAGTCATAATCGCGCCTCCGATGAGCACGGTTGGCTACGCACAGTGTGAAAGACGTTCAACATGCACACTGTACATACAACCCAGGTGCCACGGGTTGAGTAACAAAGGCTCCTTGATTGAGAAGCCACTCCCAAGTTAAACTTTTAAAAATAAATTAACGCATTGTAAAAAAGCCTTCATGGGTCAACTGCGTTATTGCTATCATGTATGTAAGTAAACGCAGCAGATGGTTTATCTTCATTGACTTTCCATCAAACACTACAGTTCATGTCAAGCTGTGACCACAAAAAAACATTAATATTCACGAGCATTCAAGGAATTGTATCAGGAGCGGAACACGCCCCTGTTTGAATAAAGGACTTGTGATTTTACAAAGAGGTAACTTGAATGGGAGAAAGATTGAGCATCGTACCTCGTCTGTTGGGCTGCCTTTATTAAAACAAAACAGCTATGGGGGAAAAAAAAGATCACAAAGGGCAGTCGGAGGCTGGCGAGAAGGAGCCATGATCCCAGATGTTAAGTTGTACTGATGGCAGGAGTTCAGGGGAGAAGTAATAAGGCCACTGCATACCTACTGTGCAGTAGCTGCAGCATCTGAGAGTGTTGGCGATGAGGTGTAGTGGGATCAACGGCTTTGGCGATGGGTGCCACGGTGGCGAGATGTTAACTACCTCGCCTGGTATACAGGAGATTGAGTTCGATCCAGACCCTGACGCCTGCTGTATATTTGGAGTTTGCATGTTCTACCCGTGGTCGTGTGGATTTTTCTCCGGGTCCTCCGGTTTTTCCCTCCACATTTAGAAAAATGCGATTAAGAGTATTTGAATGCTAGACATTTGCACGTGATAAGCCACTTTGTTAAGCTATCATTTGTGGCCAGGTTGCTTCTGAAAAAGAGCTATATAGCTCAGTGGGCCTTACCTAGCAAAATAAAAAGTTATTTTTTTAGTAGTTTAATGGAGGTGTGGGGGCATCAATGGCTTTGGCTGTGATTGAGTCTTTATCTTGATAACAAGCTAGTTTGTTTTGAGGATGGGGCAGCCGGAATCAGAGGAAAGAAACAGACTTGAGTCCGGGTGAAAAGAAGGCTTAAATGGAACTGGAATGAAGACAATACACCAGAGACCTCTGTTGCTGATGACAGATGACAGCGGGACCTTGAGAACTGGTGAAATGTAGTTCCCTGTTATAAGTTCAGGTGAGGAACCCAAGCGACAACATTCTGTTTCAAGGGAAATATCATCAGGCTCATCATCAGTAATGTAAAACTCACCGATCTGATTGTCCGGGAACTGCAGAATCTCCAAACCGTCCGGAAAAGTGGTCTGTGTGGTCTGAGCATCTGCATAGTAGTAAATCTAGAGAGAAAAATTGAACATTATTAATATTTATATGGCATACGTCCACATGACTACACGTGAAATGGACCATGACAGGTCTGCGATTGTGCTCAGGAGTGAGGACATGTGGGGTCACGTGGGGTTTGACGGCTGCGTCAGAGTCAGCACCTTGGTCTCTGGTGAAAGCAGCAGCAGCAGCCAATTTATGGGAGAGACAGAAATGACGGCAAAATGTTTATGCATGAATAGTTAGGAAACTAAATGGGTTGAGTTTGGTCGTTACATAGTCAGAGTGGTGTGGAGGTTTGGTTTCTACAGAGAGTTTGTCTAACCCCTGTTGAAATGAGAACTGCAATCAGGACTGCATCACACAGTAGATTATGCTAATAATGGCTTCACAAACCTCGTTAAAACGAACAGTTCCACCCATAATGCATTGTGCCAGCCAGTTAAAGTTTAATTTTAATACAAACGAGTTCATTTGGTAGAAAAAGTTTTTGATTATTGAAGGGCGTGTCTGCTGCTTATTAGCTACCAATAGGTAAATACTGTATTCATGTGCCAATTGATTAATTCCCACAGTGTTAAGTGCAGACTACAAACTATTATCCATAACAGTTTATTTGGGGGTTAGATCGCCCAAATATAAATGTGTTGTGAAACCCACCAACACCCAACAGAGCTAATTAGTAAGGCTTTACAAGTAAACAAAAACATGCTACTCTGTTACGAGTTCAGCACACCAGTGTGTTGAAGAGTAAACACACAACATTCACAATTCGAGTACGACGTTTCGCCGGGCATTACAAACTAGCATCATCAGGCTGGTTGTAATCACATTTATATTTACGCAATCTTCTTTGACCTTTAAGCGGTCTGGGCTTGGCTGTGTTCGCTCCAGCGCTGTCCTCCCGACAGCCTCGTCCCTTCACCTGATGAAGGCCGCTTGTGTTGTGGCCGAAACGTCGTGAGAATTTTATTGTGTTATTTTATTTTATCAATTTATTATTTTATTCTCATTCTACGTGACTTTACCGAAAGAACCAAAGAAGATGAATCCTCGCAGTCACGAAAGCTTTAAATCGAAATTTTACGCAATCTAACCCAAAAAAATATCTATTATAGATAACATTGGTCGTGAAAGCCTACGTGTTAAACTACTATCCACTATCTCTCTGTCCTGCTATGAAGAAGGATCATTGCCTGAAAAAAATCACATCATAGAAAATGTTTTTTCTATTAAAGCCAAAGTGTGAATGAGAAATGTGTTGAGTGTTTTTTGTTCTTTGCGCTTGTGCACTGCTGCCAACGCAGCAGCAGCATCACCATCAAATAATTTGTTCTAAAGAGAGACAATCGTATCGCATCACATCGGGGACGGATCAGGGGAGACGATGCCACACGCGATGATACTGACACCGATATCCCTGCAACAAGGGCCCCTTTAACAAACATCTGCATAACACCGGTTCACGTTGCGTTTAACCGAATTACGTTTAGCGGCGTGGAAGGGGGGTGATCTCTTTGTGCAGTCATGGCTGACTACTGGGCTGACATCTCAAACTCCCCACAGATAAAACTTTGCTCCCGTTTCCCTCCCACACGTAAACATTAATAGGCCGGGTTTTCCCCCTTTTTTCTGGCAACAAAACTGAAACCTTTTTTTTTTACGAGGATTCATGTCTGCATTAACCACAATACCTGCAGTCAAAATGCAAAACAAAACAAAAAAAACCATACATTAATAGGCCGTTAACGCCTTCACATGCGGAGGACCGTAGAGATCTCGGGCAATGGTTGGCACCGGCTCATCGCGCGGCCGCGTTCCCGCTCGTCCGTGGTTCCGCCTCTCTCTACGAGGAGCGTGGACCGTGCAACGACACGTTACGAGTTGAAATGAGCTCGAGGGAGACGCCTTGAGGGAGACGCCTTGAGGGAGACGTCTTGAGGGAGACGCCTTGATGCGCAAACTCCCGTAGCACTTCAGTTGGCGCTCGTCGTTCGAGGTGGACTGCGACCCTTCGAAGGAATGGCGCCACCCTCCCCGTGGTCGCCCCCCCCCCCGCCACCGTGATCCGTGGATCGCACAAAATCACTCGAGACGCCGGTGTACGGGCAGCCAAGAGCAGTTGTGTCGCGAGAGGTCTCACGTTTGGGCGCGACGTTCCTCCGCTGACTACGCGTGGCGAATGAATGAACCCCGCACCTCCGCATGCGGTACTACTGTGACTTTGGTACCAGTGGCGACTGGCGACCGGTCGAGGGGCGGAGGGGAGGGGGGGGGGGCGGGGGGGTTGGGTCGCTCACCACGCGCTGGTCGGGCAGCACGCGCTTCACGTCTCCGTTGAAGAAGGCCACGAGCACGGAGCGGCCCCCGGGGCTCACCTCCCTGCGCGTGCCGTTGGGGAAGCGCAGCGTGCGGTGGCCCCCGCGCGACACCACCTCCACCTGCGGGGCAGACAGCAACGCGTGGAACCACCGTCACCGTCGCTGCCTTCCTAAAACTAAACTGTTTTATTTAACCAGGTAAGGCCCACTGAGCTATATATATATAGGGACTCCTCTACTTATGAAACATGCGACTGATGAACTTTCAGAGATACGAACAAACCTGCGCGTATGTTCAGTTGCCGGTTCGGACCGAGGGTCGTAAGTTCAACCGCCGCGCAATAGATGGCGGTGGTGGCATCTACATCTGCAAAACGTGAAGAACCAGTGGCATCTACATCTGCAGAACGTGAAGAACCAGTGGCATCTGCATCTACAGAACGTGAAGAACCAGTGGCATCTACATCTGCAGAACGTGAAGAACCAGTGGCATCTGCATCTACAGAACGTGAAGAACCAGTGGCATCTACATCTGCAGAATGTGAAGAACCAGTGGCATTTACATCTGCAGAACGTGAAGAACCAGTGGCATCTACATCTGCAGAACGTGAAGAACCAGTGGCATCTGCATCTACAGAACGTGAAGAACCAGTGGCATCTACATCTGCAGAGCGTGAAGAACCAGTGGCATCTACATCTGCAGAACGTGAAGAACCAGTGGCATCTACATCTGCAGAACGTGAAGAACCAGTGGCATCTACATCTGCAGAACGTGAAGAACCAGTGGCCTCAACATCTACAGGAGATTATAGAACTTTTAAAGACATTCTCCGTGTTTAGTGTACATGCCGTACAACATGTTTGGAATCGACAGGAGTAAAGTTGGACTTATGAACAAATCGACTTACGAACAGACCCCTGGAACCTAACTCGTTCGTAAGTAGAGGAGTCCCTGGAGTTGTAACTTTTCTAACCCACACTGACCGGGCACCGCGGTGGCGAGATGTTAACCACCTCGCCTGGTCTACAGGAGGTCGTGGGTTCAATCCTGGCCCTGAGGCCTGTATATTTGGAGTGTGCATGTTCTGCCCGTGGTCACGTGGATGTTTCTCCGAGTCCTCCGGTTTTTCCCTCTACATTTAGAATCAACATCACGCGTTTAGAGTATTTGGCTGCGATGCATTTCCACCTGAAGATAAGCCACTTGGTGGAGCTATAAATTGTGGGCAGGTCGCTTCCTAAAAAAATAAAAATAGTTTACAGTTTACACTGGACATCTGTGAAAATGAGCTTCAAAGCTCATCGGATTTCTCCAGGATAAAGAAAGATTCTGATTTCGATTTCAGAAGCGACAAATGACAGATAGCTCAATGAAGTGGCTTATCGCGTGGGAATTTATAGCAGCCAAATAATCTAAACGCACGTCTATTCTAAATGTGGAAGGAAAAACCGGAGGACCCGGAGAACAATCCACGCGACCACGGGGAAAAACATGCAAACTCCAAATATACAGGCATCGTCAGGGTCGGGATGGCACCCTCGACCTCCAGTATACCAGGCGAGGGAGTTAACGTCTCCCCAACGTCGTGCCCCAGACGGTTGCGCCTGGGGACCACGGAGGGAAAGCAAAGCTTGGTTTATAGTTTCAGTCTCGTGGGGCTGCTTACGATGGCCTTGGGTTTTCCAGCGTATGGAATGTGAGCAGTTCCACCAGTAGATAGCAAGCAGGTGGTTATGGCCTAGCATGGGTGTTCAATGTCGCTTCTGCATTCCAGTAAATGCATTTTTCGCCTCCACATGCCAGGTGGAAAATGGAAACTCAGATTAAACGGCGCCAAGCCACCGAAGGATGTCAAGGCTACATAAAACGTTATCGCACAACCCACTGGTGGCATTCCCTCAGCAGCACACACTGTTGGTACATTCATCATCAGCCACGGTTAATCCACTGCTGGATGTAGGCCTCCACAAGTCGCTGCCATCCATTACAGTCTCGAGATGTCACGATCCATCTCGCTCGCGTAAACGAGCTCGCTCATATCATCGTTCCATCTCCACGGTGGTAATCCTCTCAGGCACATAATCTCATTCGGGTGCTATTCCATCACCAATGTCATCCATCGACCGTCATTCCCTTCTTGCCACGATGGGTCCAAAATAGTACATTTAAAAAAAATCACCCACATTTTTCTCATATGCTGTTATACAACGGAATCATCGTCCGCTACCGGAAGACTAATGTCCCATGTCACTCTTGCATATGAGACTATCCTGGCCTGTAGCGTTCTCACCTGGAAAAACTTAAATAAAAAAAAACCCACATTCGTTTTCTTAACTCGGGAATTGACCTTGCGAAAGCAAAGGGACTGCGCATAACTTTAAAATGTCAATAATATGCAGCCAATATCACGGCACTGCGATGACACGCAAAACGGGAGATTACCAGCATCGTGGATCGTCAAGGCAGACAATCTCGTGTCTTCGTCATATCGCAGCGACCCTCACGTCTAATGCATCTGTACGGCGGCAGCCGCAACCTCTCCGTATTTCTCAAATGTACTATCGCCGACGACGACCGCCCCCCATCACAGCTGGTAAGAACCTATGGATACAAACTTGAAGCAGCTTACAATAAAATCGCAGAAACCCCCAAACCCCTGCTCTCGCGCGTATTTCTGAAGGTCAACGGGTGCATATTTTTCTTGACCTAATGTGCACCTGGTGCAGCGTGTGCATCGGGCGCCCTGTAATTCATCTACCGGTGCCGGTGAGAGGCTGATGAGTGCCGGTGAGTGGCCGGTAAATATTGGGGCAGGTAGCGACGTGTGCCGAGTGTTATCACGTGAAGTGGCAGATGTGCGTTAAGTGCAGATCGCAGGGGTCTAGGCAAGGGGGTGATGTTCTCTGACCTGTGTGACGTCTATGGGCACAGCCTCCGGTTGCGATATCACTTCATGAGACTCCAAGGGAGCGACGGCTCCCACAGTTTCAAGTGAAATTTATCGAACACAAAGGGTTATCAAGGTGGAACTTTTTTTTGCGATCACACATTTTTTTCATTCCAATGCGTGCACTTGCAGCGGTGTCAATGGTGATACGGTACAGGCCAGGGCAGCAAGGAGCGTGTGTGAGCACTCCACCAACTCTATTAACGGTGGGGGCAAACGAGCGAGCGCCGACTGCCCGCGACACGTTTTAATTTTGCCGTGTTTGACCTCGCACCTCCAGTTGGCTGAACCTTTCAAGTTTTTGACTCGCCATTTTTTGGTTGTTGCACATTTCAGTTTCCTGTCCACAAACAGAGACAGCTTCTCATATCCAATTGCAAAAAGACGCATCGGGCGGACACCTACACGGTTTAACGCAATGGGCCGTAAGCCTCTTACCTTGCCATCGGGATGCGTAACCTCTTCCAGCACCTCCTCGTCCGCGGTCCTGCTCCCATCCAGCGAGGCCGCACCCCAGTCGCGAGACTGCTCCACACCTTCGCCGCTGCCACCGCCGCCCTCCTTGCGCGCACGGCCAGGAATAATTTCATGTAAAATGGCGTGGAGCATGCATCCGGGCTCGAAGGTGGTTTTGGGTAGCTCTAGAGGTTCTGCCAACAACACCGAGCCGGCAAATTGGCCAACAAGCCTGCAACCAAGCACGTGTTACAAATTCGGGATGCATCCATCATCTAAGATGTTATACCCGACCATTGTAAGAAATACAATTGACACGTGAATGGAATTCAGTGAAGCCTTGCGCTCGGATGCCTGGTCGTCCACGTGCTCTGCTCGAGCCCTCCCGTTTGTCACATTTGTTTGATTAAATAAACAAAATAAATATTTGTTGACGTGAGAAAACCCGCTTCAGCCTTTCACATGCAGTGAACCTCAGCTTTCCACCTTTGCCTCATGGTGATGGTACCCGGACTAAACTATCCGGGAGTAATTTTCAAGCGTAATTGCACAGTAAGTATTTGGTTAGGTGTCATTAAATGTGAAATAAGCGTGTTAGGTATTAGATGTAAATGTAATGAAAGTTAGTTAATTATGCATTTATTAATAATTTGCACTACTCTGGACATCCCCCAATACCATGAAGCCAATTCGTCCGGTTTTAATAGGGTTTAAAACTGCCGACGTAATCAGAAAGAGGTGGTTGTGATGGGTGGAACACGTGTGTAAGACGGAGGAGGGCAGGTATACCGAGACCGGCACGAGAGTGGTCAGGAACCGAAGAAAAGTCCACGACCTAAATTCCAAATTTCGTGCGGGACTGAACGAGCAGACCTTGAAGGTCACATGACACCCTTAGGGACGAGCAGAGGGAAGTGACGGCGAGCTGTGCCACGTTGCTATCGTCGGCCGTTGACGACTGACTTTTTAAAGGCGTCGCTGAGATTGAGTGTGGGGCTCGGCTTTACCGGTTTGTGGTGAGAGGTGTCGAAGGGATGCGACGAGTCTTGAGTGGCGGCTTTCAGGGTGGCCGTGCGTGGGGTGTCCTCCGCTGCCGCCGCCGCCGCCCCCGCTCCCGTTGAACTCAAGTCCGGCCTCGTGGTCCTGGAAGCTGAGAGACAGCGACATCACGTGTTCACAACAACTGTAACATACGTCTTGGAGCACTGAAGTCCAGTCCCATACGTGTCGTTGTCATGAACGCTCCCATTCAGCAACACGTGGATGTGAGACCGACGAGTGGCCACGGTATGTCAGATCTCAAGACTGCGATGTTGTTAATTGTGGAGGAGCAGCTTGCAATTGGAAGGCAGCAAAGTTCAAAGCTCGGTTTAGGGGTTGCCTCAGCCGATCGTCCCTTCCCCAAGCTCTGGGGTCGAAAGAATCAGCACCACGTTGTGGGCAAGTCGACAGTGGCTGTCCTATGGCTAGACTTGCAGCTGCCATAGGAATGAGGAATTTACACCACCGGCTCAGGACTATAAACAGGAGATGGCTGAGCGCCGTCTCAACGTTACTTTGGGCAGGAAATCGGCTCTGACCGACTCGAGTCATTAATTCACAACCGTATTTGTTTTTAACGAACAACACATATCATTGTTTTATGAACAACATCCCATTGTTTTTCATCAAGGCAAAATGTATCCCATTTACAGCTTTCATTCATTTTGCTTTAGTACTGAAAGCAAAAAGAAAATATGACACGCTGAAATAATAAAATCTCTCTCTCTCTCTCCTCCGACTCTCACCAGCTGACGCAGCTTGGCTGGGCCTCCCCACTTTGGTTTCCGCGCCCTTCTGGGCTCCTAGGCTGGGAGCCTGCGACTTGAGAGACGAGGACTTTGGCTTCAGGGCGCCAGCCTTGGCCGCATCACTCGCAGGAAGGTGACCCGCCGCCACCTTAGTCTGAGCGCCATTGGCAGGATGAGCGGCGAGCTGTGGACACACGTCCAACTTCTGGGATCCCAGAACCTGGCGAGATATACACGTGGCAGCGTTGAACGAATGTCACGAAACGTCTTTTGTCCGTGATAATATGTGACACTGGTATAATAAGTAGCAATCTCAATTGATATACTTACAAATATGAGATCTTGGTATGTTTTGTAACCAGGTTGAGACTGCCAGATTTTCTAAACTTAAGAAGTTGATTCTATCACGATAATGAGGACCTTAGCGGTGTTAACTCGGTGTCTATAGCCAGACCACTGAACGTTCCCCGAGCCACTCGGCCTGTCCCTTCCGTTCTCTCCAAATCTTCGGAGAACACTGTGGAATGCTTACGAATTTTAGACGTACGATTTGGTCTTGCTTTTTGTTAAACGGCCGACGGCACCCAACTTCAAATCGGTTTCTATCCTGATCGCTTGCTGCCCAAAACGTCCTGCGTCCCAGCCTTGCCTGCGGAGCGGCCGCCTCCCTGCCCGTCGCGGCTCCTCCCGCGGGGGCGCCGCCGCTGCACCCAGAGGCCCCGCGCCGCCGCACGGCCTGCAGACGCAGGCGCTCGGCGGTGCCGAGCTCGAGCCGCAGCTCGGCGTTGAGACGCTCGGCCGCCTGTAGCTGCTCCCGCGAGCGCGCCTGCCCGGCCACCCAGCGCGCCTCCCGCCGGCGCAGCTCGTCCTGCAGCTCGGCCAGCTGCTGGCGCAGGGTCTGGGCGGGCAGCAGGGAGGGACGGCGGCGGCGGCGGCGGCAGAGGGATAAATAGAGAGGATCAAAGTAATCGTTTGCATTCACGTGGCGCTTAAGCGTCTCAGCAACTCGAAGCACCGTGTGTACGGGTGAGGGCGGTGGCGTGGTAATCCGATCTCCGACCCCCAGGAACAGGTCTGCAGGTTTGCAGAGCATTTTTGTCAGGACTTGGGGGAGGGGAATTCCCTCAGCCCAGACAACATCACCCCTTCTGAATGGTTGGCTGAGGTACCATCTGTGGAGGAAGAGGGGGAATCCGAAGTCTGAGACCATCTCCCAAGCGAAATGCTGAGGGAGGGTGGCATGTGTGCAGACTGCCCTACATGACATCACAACTGTCTGGACCAAAGGACGGGTTACGTAGGATTGGAAGGATGCCCCCAGTGTGCCGGGAAAGGTCCTGGAAAAGATTATTTAACATCGCCTTGCCAGGCATGCTGAGATGTTTCTGGAGCCCAAATGTGGTTTCAGACCAGGGCAGTCCTGCATGGATGCCATATCCTCTGTGCGTCTGCTACAGCAGAGGTGTATGTAATTCCAACAAGAACTACACCTCTGCTTTATTGACTGGTCAAGGCCTATGATGCCATCAATAGGCTAGGGCTGTGGGCAGTTTTTCATACTTTAGGAGTTTCTGATTCTCTGCTCACCATCATTAAGGGCCTTCATGATAGTGGGCAGGCCCGGGCAAAGCTACGTGGCCAGGAGTCGGTGCCATTCCCTGTTCAACTTGGGGTGCGACAGGGATGTGTTCTGGCTCCCACATTATTTAACATCATCTTGGACCACGTAGTTCGAGAAGCTTTCTATGGCTGTACCAGAGGAATTTACATCTGGAACAGATACAACGGGAGGCTGATCGATGCCTGGGTGCGGTCGAGGGATGGCTCCCTATTGATGAACCACGTTCTGTATGCTGATGATCTGGTGATTGCTGCTCACTCAGAGGAGGAGTTGGAGGCACTGCTGCTGAACCTGGAGTGTGCCACTAAGACAGACATGGGCAAAGTACGGCCCCCGGGCCGTATACGGCCCCTTGGGCTTTTTGATCCGGCCCGCCGAACTTGTCCAAATATTATTATTATTAAATTTAATTTTACCTTTCTCCTGTAATGCCCACATTTCCCCATTAGATGGCGCACTTTGACCGGGAGTTACGACATGTTTTTGTATTGTTCACGTTCATGCAATTTGTTAAACTGCCTTGCAAATAAATGCTTTGCTACCTGTTAAAGGCCAAATCCTTTCATGTAATGATTTTTACACGTCATTTATATTTAGTTCACACAAACACTCCATCCATCTGGCCCGGCCCCTCTGTCAAATTTTAGAACCCATTGTGGCCCGCGAGTCAAAACATTTGCCCACCCCTGCGCTAAGAGGTGGGGTCTTACCATCAGCTCCACCAAAACTAAGCACCTGCCTAGGTATTTTGTGCTATCAAACACTCCACTCCCTCAACTCCCCATTGATGATTGGGCAGTTGTGGAGAGAGTGGAGAGTTCCTCATACCTGGGCAGTGTGCTTATGAGACCAGCTCCGGTTTGACAGGCGAGGTCTCACTCCGATCAATCGGGCAGGATTATATTTGCATCGGTTGTGCAATACTGTGTGAAAGCTACCTTGGTCTGTCGCTCTGCACAAAGCTTCAGGTCTTCTCGGCCACAGTCATGCCCTCCCTTCTCTATGCTTCTGAAACGTGCACCCCACTCATGGAACATCTGCACCGGTTAGAAACATTCAGGCTGGCATGCCTACGATGCACCCTGGGTTTAACCAGGCTGGATTGTGCGAGGAGCTCACAAATCTTTGAAAGATCTGGACACATTCCCATCAGTGAGCTCCTCCGGCAGGCAAGGCTGCGTGGGCTGGGTCATGTAGCCCGCATGTCCAGCCACTGCATGCCCAAGCAGCTTCTGCCAAAATGCAACAAGTTAGCACAGTAGGGGGTACACAGCTGGTGCATCTACCAGTCATCTCATAAGCCAACCCATGGCACCTGGGTCTGTCCTGAACCCTTCTGTCAGCGATCCTACGACACTTCACGTGGCTTCAAAGTGCACCTGGCCTGGCACAGGCATCGTGGTGACGTCACCGTCACTTAGTGGCGAATGGCGGGTATTAGTAGCGTGGTAGCGCATAGGTATGGGTGAGAGTGGTAGCATGATAGTGCATGTGTGTATGGGTGAAGGTGGTAGCATGGTTAGCGTGTGTGTGTATGGGTGAGGGTGGTAGTGGGGTTAGCTTGTGTGTATGGGTGAGAACAGTAACGCGGTAGCGCGTGTGTGTATGTGGTAGTGTGGTTAACGTGTGTGTATGTGGTAGTGTGGTTAACGTGTGTGTATGTGGTAGTGTGGTTAACGTGTGTGTAGGTGGTAGTGTGGTTAACGTGTGTGTATGTGGTAGTGTGGTTAACGTTTGTGTATGTGGTAGTGTGGTTAACGTGTGTGTAGGTGGTAGTGTGGTTAACGTGGGTGTATGTGGTAGTGTGGTTAACGTGGGTGTATGTGGTAGTGTGGTTAACGTGTGTGTATGTAGTAGTGTGGTTAACGTGTGTGTATGTGGTAGTGTGATTAACGTGTGTGTATGTGGTAGTGTGGTTAACGTGTGTGTATGTGGTAGTGTGGTTAGCGTGTGTGTATGTGGTAGTGTGGTTAACGTGTGTGTATGTGGTAGTGTGGATAACGTGTGTGTATGTGGTAGTGTGGTTAACGTGTGTGTATGTGGTAGTATGGTTAACGTGTGTGTAGGTGGTAGTGTGGTTAACGTGTGTGTATGTGGTAGCGTGGTTAACGTGTGTGTATGTGGTAGTGTGGTTAACGTGTGTGTATGTGGTAGTGTGGTTAACGTGTGTGTAGGTGGTAGTGTGGTTAACGTGTGTGTAGGTGGTAGTGTGGTTAACGTGGGTGTATGTGGTAGTGTGGTTAACGTGTGTGTATGTGGTAGTGTGGTTAACGTGTGTGTAGGTGGTAGTGTGGTTAACGTGGGTTTATGTGGTAGTGTGGTTAACGTGTGTGTATGTGGTAGTGTGGTTAACGTGTGTGTATGTGGTAGTGTGGTTAACGTGTGTGTATGTGGTAGTGTGGTTAACGTGTGTGTATGTGGTAGTGTGGTTAACGTGTGTGTATGTGGTAGTGTGGTTAACGTGTGTGTATGTGGTAGTGTGGTTAACGTGTGTGTATGTGGTAGTGTGGTTAACGTGTGTGTATGTGGTAGTGTGGTTAACGTGTGTGTATGTGGTAGTGTGGTTAACGTGTGTGTATGTGGTAGTGTGGTTAACGTGTGTGTATGTGGTAGTGTGGTTAACGTGTGTGTATGTGGTAGTGTGGTTAACGTGTGTGTATGTGGTAGTGTGGTTAACGTGTGTGTATGTGGTAGTGTGGTTAACGTGTGTGTATGTGGTAGTGTGGTTAACGTGTGTGTATGTGGTAGTGTGGTTAACGTGTGTGTATGTGGTAGTGTGGTTAACGTGTGTGTATGTGGTAGCGTGGTTAACGTGTGTGTATGTGGAAGCGTGGTTAACGTGTGTGTAGGTGGAAGCGTGTATATGGGAAGCAGGAGGCATGAAACCTGTGCCTCGTTGCGCTGCTGTTTATCGGGGATGGCCCGGGCGGCCGCCGCGTGCTTCTGGAAGATCCGCCTCTCGCGCTGCAGCCGCTGCTGCCCCTCGAGCCGCTCAGCCTCGAGCTGGGCCACCCCCTCCGCCCTGTGCCTCTCGAACGCCTCCCTCTCCTTGCTGTGGGATAAACGCGGCTTGTTTAGGTGGTGTCAAAGGTGGCTTGGGCTTCACGGGTAGCGGTTGCCATAGCGCAATAAAAGTAAATCGGACAGGATTTTTTCTAAATCGAGGAACTTGTGTGAGAGAATGAATCGCGGGACCTATATATTATATTGAAAACTATGTCTTTTATTTTACCAGGTAAGGCCCACTAAGCTATATAGCTCTCTTTCAGAAGCAACCTGGCCACAAATAATAGCTCAACAAAAGTAGCTTATCACGTGGAAATTTAGAGCGGCCAAATACTCCAAACACACGTTTCTAAAATGCGCAGGGAAAAACCGGAGGACCCGGAGGAAAAAATCCCCGCGGCCAGGGAGAGAGAGAGAGAGAGACACGCAAACTCCAGGCGCCAGGGTCGGGATCAAACCCACGACCTCCTGCAGACCCGGCGAGGAAGTCAACATCTCGCCACGGCGGCACCCCCCATCTAGCGCGAGAGAGAAGTTGATGGGCGAGCACCGTAGGGTTTCCAGCGAGGCCTCGTGCTCGGCGCGCAGGCGGGCGAGGGCTGCGTTCTCGGTGCGAAAGCGTGCAATCTCCGCCTCCAGCTCGGCCAGTCGCTCCTGCAGCAGCCGCGACTGCCCCACGTCTGCCGCAGGGGCAGCAACTGCACCCCAAGGAGTCGGGTTAACTTACGACGCATTCTTCGCGGGAACGCGTACGCCGAACGCGAGCGCTCTCGCGTACGGTAACACCCATATTGACGTCTTCCCCCCCCCGTTCACATCGTTTTGCAAATACGTCGTCGCTTGGTGAATACCGCCACCTCGATTGCGTCGTATCAGTCAACACTTATGTCGGTGACACAGCATCGTCCGTCCTTTCTCATTGTCCGTCGCCTCTCAGCCTTCGCCTCCACCACCACCACCACCTACCCTGTAAATCTCTTTGATTGACTTTGTTTCGGTGTTCGTCGTCACAGCTTTTAGGAACGCATCCCCGACGCGAACCGGGGCGTTACCGTATAAGCACTCACTAATCGGCTGAAGACATCTTAATATATAGAGAACTTCGATTTAAAGCTTTCGTGACTGCAAGGATTCATCCTCTTTGGTTCTTTCGGTAAAGTCACGTAGAATGAGAATAAAATAAAAAAATAAAACAATCAAATTATCACGACGTTTCGGCCACAACACAAGCGGCCTTCTTCAGGTGAAAGAACAGAACGTTAATTGAAGCTCTGTCGTCCCGTCAGTTCTGTTCTTTCACCTGAAGAAGGCCGCTTGTGTTGTGGCCGAAACGTCGTGAGAATTTTATTGTGTTATTTTATTTTATTATTTTATTCTCATTCTACGTGACTTTACAGAAAGAACCAAGGAAGATATAGAGAACTGCAGAGCAACTGTTGGTGCTGGCTCACCGCCTGGCAGTCCTCTGGCTTGTCTGTGGCTTCTCAAAAATTGTGAAATGCAATTTGTATGAATAACACTAGACATTTTTTCACAAATGTCCAATGACGATAATCAGACGAATAGATGGGAAGTTTTATTGTACGTGGAAAGGGATGGTGGTTTTTCAACATCTCAAGTGAGAATCACTGCAACTCTTCGTCACATTGTGTGCGCGGCTTTGCGTGATGCCCCGGCGACTTTGAAGCATTGTTCGGCTGTGATGCAACCAATGCTGCTGAAATTATGCGCCGCTAGAAGGCCGTGTGACTGATAGGACGTGGGGAAAAAAAACACTTGTTTTTTTTCTTATGCGGAGAGATATGTGAAGGGGGAATATTGTCTACGTATTCATTCGGTTGTACGAGGTTCTGGGTGCAATGAAATTTGAAATGCTTGAACAGGAAGGGGCCCATTTTTCACAGGCTCCAAATGGAAATGGGCTACATTATATAAAGGTTACATTTTCTCTCACACTGATCATCACTGAAGAATAACGTGTTCACATGAAGATGGTGAGAATATTATTGTGTTATTTTATTTTATCAATTTATTATTTTATTCTCATTCTACGTGACTTTACCGAAAGGACCAAAGAAGAAAAAAAATGCTTTCACATTTGCAAAGCGAATACAGATTTTGTATGAACTGAAAACCAATCTGAAAAATTCTAGATTTGAAGCTTTCGTGACTGCAAGGTTTCGTACTCTTTGGTTTTTTTCGGTAAAGTCACGTAGGTAAAAATAAAATCAATGAAAACAACTAAAATTAAATCACGACGTTTCGGGCGCAACACAAGCGTCCTTCTTCAGGTGGGGACAACGGAGCGAAAGCACACACGCTTAAGTGCGTCTCAGAGATGGCTGTGACGAGGGATTATATAGTCGCGGGGCATGGAGGGAGGAGGGGGGCCATGGTGAGTGTTCGGACGCGGTGTGGGCCGGGAGGTAAAGTTGGGAAGCCGAGGATGCGCTGGGAGGCAACGACTGGGGCCGAAACTGAGGCTTTGTGATGTAGATGGCGAAAGTAGATAAGCAAGCTAGGATTAAGCCACATTCTGTTATGCTTCCGGGTGGGTAAATTCGCAATGCGCAGGCTAACAACGTATCTGAAAAACCTGCACCGAAGCAAAGTTCTTGAGGCCGGTTTCAACCTTGCGCACAAATCACAACGCTACGTCATTTAAGTCGAGGAACAAGCACGATTGCCTTTCAGGGTTGTTAAAACGTCTGCACGTTCTAAAAGCCCTATCCTATTTTTGGATTTTGCTGGCGATCCAGCAAAAGTCTACAAATGTCTACATTTTGGAAATTTTACTGGCACTCAATCGTGATTTTCTAAGCTGCGGAGAATACGGTCTGCTCAGCGACTTTTGACAGCAGCCATGGTGGTGCCTGAGTGGACTCCACGGATCCTGTTAATTCGAGTCGCGTCTGAGCTGGCATGGGAAGCTATAACAACAGAGCTTGTGGTTGGTGGCTGGCAAGATTTCCCTTTCCAAGTGTTAGTGCTTGCCACGTGCTCACAAGAGGACATGTCCACTCATAATAATGACACAATTACCCATTATACCAAGTCTGTGGTGGATGCTATGTCTACTCATAATAATTACACAATTACCCATTATACCAATAGTCTGTGGTGGATACTATGTCTACTCATAATAATTACACAATTCCCATTATACCAATAGTCTGTGGTGGATGCTATGTCTACTCATAATAATTACACAATTACCCATTATACCAATAGCTTGTGGTGGATGTTATGACTACTCATAATAATAACACAATTACCCATTATACCAATAGTCTGTGGTGGATGTTATGACTACTCATAATAATGACACAATTACCCATTATACCAATAGCTTGTGGTGGATGTTATGACTACTCATAATAATTACACAATTACCCATTATACCAATAGCCTGTGGTGGATGTTATGACTACTCATAATAATTACACAATTACTCATTATACCAAGTCTGTGGTGGATGCTAGGTCTACTCATAACAATTACACAATTACCCATTATACCAATAGCTTGTGGTGGATGCTATGTCTACTCATAATAATTACACAATTACCCATTATACCAATAGCTTGTGGTGGATGTTATGACTACTCATAATAATTACACAATTACCTATTATACCAATAGTCTGTGGTGTATGCCATTGGCTTACCATAGGCCTAATATATCTGTGCAATACTAGGCATGCCAAAACCAGAGACCATAGTGCCTTTAGCAACCACTTTCAGATAATGCCTACCTATACTGCATGTTCACCATGATGAGAGAGGGTTTATATTCGGGCATGTAAACAAATAAACCCAAACGCTCGCACACCATCTCGCATGTTGCTTGTGCACAGCACCAGCCATGCCCCCCCTGTCAGCTTCGTGGCTATAATCATCTGAAGGTTGGGATCTAACCTGGAGGATCCTAAAAAATATGCCCTGGATCAATCTCTCATTCCATCAATAAACTCTGTACCAAAGATTGATGAATACAATACCTCTGCCGGAGCAGTGAAATGAGTGGCGAAACCAAACATTACCCCACTTCATATTTTTGAAACCATTTTTTAAACACTTACCAACGTCTTTCTTGGGCGGTTTAAGTGCCGGGAAAAGTTTCGCCACGAGTCCAGATGTTGGCGGTGCATTAGGAGACACCTTCCCATTGTGAAAGTCGCCCAAGTCTGTCCTGTCGACTGTCCTGCACTGTGCCACCTTGCGCGTGACTGCTCGTTGCTCCGAGCCCTCCAGGCGCGTGTGATTTCTATCCTCCACCATGTGGTTCTCCTCCACCAGAGTCCTTTCGTCTTCATCAACAACATCATCATCATCGTTGTCGTCGTCGTCGTTCCACGTGTGCTCATCTTCAAAACCATCAGGATCCTTGCAAGCGGCCCGTGGCTTTTCGCCATCGTCATCGTCGTCTAGATCGTCACGCTCCTCGACGCCGCTTAAAAAGCTAGAGGCGTCAGAAGCATCGGAGCTGTCATCGCTCATCAGTTCTGCGTCTTCAACAACTCCCGGGCGAGACGGCGAACAATTCGTGGCCCCCAGGGCCTCCGCCGCCGCCGCGCCGCCTCCACCACCACCACCACCACCACGTTCATCGTCACGCTGTCCGTCACCTCCGTCGACTCCTCTGACCTCACCGCCCCTGTCACCGCCAATCTCCGTGGGCTGCTGCCAAACGGACTTTAAAGCCGTAGCATGTTTTGGGGCCTGAGCGCCGGGTACCTCGCTCGCTCCGTCACCCTCCGGCATAACGGCCCTCTCCGACTCCTTGATTGGCGTTGACGACAGCCGACGCCAGTTTCCCCAGTTGTCCAGGTTCATCGGAGGCGGCAGCATCTGCGGCGGCGGCGGCGGCGGCCCCGTCGTCGGTGTCAGCGAGGCGTTGCTTGCGAACGAGAGGTCCTGCGCCGCTTGCTCCAGCAGCTCAAACTCGTGCAGTTCGTGGTCGTCCACGGCTCGCTCACAGTCCCAGCGTTCCATCTTGCGCTGAAAGGACGTCTCAAAAGAAGACTCGGCAACGCACGACACGGGCAGCTGGGCCGCCACGCGCAGACCCTCGTGCCGCTGGCCCGGCGTTCGTGCAGCGAGTCGCGCTCGAGCGCTTTCAACATCCTGCCTCGTTTCATTCCGTGCCTGTGGATTCGACTCCTTGGTCGCAGCTGGTATTCGCAGGTTCTCTTCTCTCGGCTGCGAGCCAGACAATTTAGCGGAGGGCGGGTCATCGGGCAGGTCAAATGTGACCATTTTACGGGGTTGCGCGCTACTCTGCGCACTCCTCGCAGCCTGCGTCGCCACTCCATTGGCCCTGCTCGCCGACCGTGTGCTGGAGATCTCGGCGGGTGGACGGGTACACGCGTACGGCCGTTCTGCTCCACCGGACACCAATTTGGACCCGACGGAAGGCTTTGGCTTATCGTTTCCCCTGCTCACGTGCACTTGGCGATCTGCTTTCTGGACCTGCGGATGACTCCCTCTCGCCTTCTGCACCGGCGCTGTGCTCTTTAACGACATGTCTTGGGCAGCAGCTCTTTGCGTTTTTGCAGTGACAATCGAGCTGCCATCCTCACCAATGCCCTGAGACATTCTAGCCGGGGCTTCTTTTCCTCTATCAAAGCGAGCGATGCCTTGACCACGTTTCAAAAATGGTTTCCGTGCACGGCCGCCACCATCGACACCTCCAGCATCTCCTCCAGCAATTGCAAAAGGCTTCTAAGTGGAAATAAAGTAATGACAATCAAAGTGTCAGAATAACGTTTCTGTGCACTGATGCAACAGCTTCTAAACTCCCTGAGCTACGGTTACATTAAAGATGCTTTATAAATCTAAATTGTATTGCAAAACTACACCAACAGAAAAAAGTGTGCGGAAGAGACACGGTAAGCATTACACACCTCACATCCTCTTAGTCTCTCCTCCTCAGCCTTCATCTGCTCCTCCAGGAGTTGCTCAAATCTCCGAGCACCTTGAATGCCAGGTGTGATGGGTCTATAGATAGGACAAATTTGTTACAAACAAACCTCACAAGCTCCACGAGAAACACACTGCTAGACCATCAGCCTAATTCTCATGTTAATAGTATAAAGGGATTTCCCATGTATTTTCGGGTTCCCACCACGCGGCCCTTCCACTGCTTTTCCACATCAGTTAGACGACAACAAACTCAGCGAGGATCAAGCCACCACCGCTGCGGACGACCAAGGCAGGGGAGACTCTCAGACCAGGCGAGCGATAGCTGTCGTGAGGCAACAGGCGCTGCATCGCAACGCCGACACCGAGAGATCTCCGGCTTTTAACAAGATAAAATATTCGCCCCGAGCAATTTACAGACCTGCCGTCCGCGATCTCGTCGAGCGGATTTTCCCAGGAATACGCACGCGGCCACGGAGATGAGATGAGCGGGGCGAAGAAACGTGCGGGAACGCAAGAGGCCCGGTCGTACCTGTCCTCCGGGTGGACGGGAGGCGGCGTACGGTGTCGGCGTTCCTCAAATTCGCTCTGCTCGCTCGGCCATTGCTCGGGGCTCGACGCGCCGCGCGGGGAGTACCTGCAGGGCTCGAGAGAGCTGCTTTCGTCCTCTAGCACGCTTTCATCTGAGCCACGTAGAGGCAGGGAAATAAATAAATAGTGAAAACGTCGCCGCGCCGTCACCCTCATTTTTTCGCGAAAATGTTTGCGTTCGACACAGAGTAAATGACGAGCAACACAAACAAAAGGGCCAACTCATAATGCAAGCTCTTGATCAGACGACATATTATTTGCCTCGCTTTAGAACACCGTATTCTACCGTGTGCGGCTTAATTAGCGTGTGGCAGTGTTCTGATCAAAGGCTTTTCGGTTTATTCATGTATTTTTTGGGGGAGTAATATTTCCTGCTTACCCCGAATATCTGGCTTACTGGAGCCTGGCTGCGAAGTATTTCAGCGAAGTCACCAGGAATAATACCAACTACTGTGATAAGTAATGAGCAACATCTTTGCGATAATCTAGACTTGGAGTTTTCGTGACTGCAGCGTTCCTTACTCCTTGGGTCTTTTCGGTAAAGTCACGTGGGTATAAAATAAAATAAATTAAATCACGACGTTTCGGGCGCAAAACAAGCGTCCGTCATCAGGTGGGACAACCACAGCAACCACTTCAGCAATTTGTTTCTTTTCCGTGGTTGTCCCACCTGATCACGGACGCTTGTGTTGCGCCCGAAACGTCGTGATTTAATCTATTTTATTTTCTACCTACGTGACTTCACTGAAAGAACCAAAGAGTATTTTTTGATTTGAAGCTTTCGTGACTGCAGTAATTCATATTCTTAGCTCTTTCGGTAAAGTCACGTTGAAGGGAAACAATAAAATAATAAAATATATATAAAACAATAAAAAATTCTCACGTTTCGACCATTACACAAACGGTCGTCATCAGGTGTGTCGGTTTGCATTAATGCAACCATTACACAAACGGTCGTCATCAGGTGTGTCGGTTTGCATTAATTGAATTAATGCAAACCGACACACCTGATGATGTCGTGAGAATTTTTATTATTGTGTTATATATATTTTCTTATTTTATTGTTTCCCTTCAACGTGACTTTACCGAAAGAGCTAAGAAAACCAAAGAGTATCTTTGCGATATACAAAAATTACACATCAGGTCATTTGACACCACAGAACTTCGCAGGTTGCTTCAACAAACCCCTTTTAACCCATGCTTTTAGGGCGGTTTGCTGGGTATAATTAATCACTATTCCAATTGGAATCTCTCAAGAGCTGGGCGAGGATACATTAAGTGAGACATGCCGTTTTCTTTGGAACCGTCGTAGAGGCGATTAAGCTGAGACCATGAACCCGCTACATTTGTAACCCGAGTTTCATCATTGGTCGCTGATAAGATTCTAATCCAGGCTCTCAGCCGTTATGACCCCCTAGAGCAGTGGTTCTTAACTTGGGGGTGCACACAACCCCCTGGGAGTGCGTGATGCCCTTTCTGGGGGTGCGAGACATGGCCAATTTTTTGTTAGAAAGCAAATCATCAAAACACAGTTTAAGCACGGGCACGTTAAGTAGAACTACTATGTTTTTTATATATATTTTATTATTTTATTGTTTCCCTTCAACGTGACTTTACCGAAAGAGCTAAGACTATGAATTACTGCAGTCACGAAAGCTTTAAGTCAAAATGTACTTTGTTTCATCAAACCTATGTATTTATTACCATATAAATGTTTTAATGACTGAGAACCAAAGGGGTGCAAGGCTGCAGTATGGGTCAAGAACCACTGTTCCTAGAGCCACCAGGACGGATGTCATGCGTAACCAATGAGCGAAACACCCCTCGCTTGACAAAACTCACCCTGCGTCCTCCGAGATATATTTAAGGCGTGTTGTTAAAGAAAAGGAACCCCGATTATAACCCAGTGACGGCGATGACAAGTCGGCTGTGACAGGAGCACAGCATCCTGCAACTCACCTTCACCAGGAGAGCCAGGATTATGGGCCTTTGCATGAACGTCAGGCTGCACGGGCCTACCCATGCTCCCAAAGTGTTCCACTGGTGGAGGCTGTGATAGCTTCTTGCCAGCTCCTGTGTTGTTATCGAAATACAGTTAGCTGAATCTCGAACATACACTTTAAAGTGACACGCACGATACAACGGAAATTACCGTACGGTTGTAGTGGGAAGTGAAACGGCGACTCCTTCTAAACTGACTGAAGAGGTGATGCCTGCTGATCTGAAGTCTATTGGTGCTTTTGGCAGCACAACAAATATAAAAAAGCAAGTCTGGACTGTGGCCGACGTTAAAAAATAAACATCTCATACAAGACCCTGCCGTCCAACCTCCCGGTTTGAACCTTCCACGGCGACAACGGTCGACCATCAACCGAATCAGGACCGGGCATGGCCGACGTGACCACCCGGTGCACAAATGTCGCGTCAAAGATTCGGCGGCCTGCGAGTGGTGCGGCCTCCACGAACCCAAAACCATCGACGGCCGCATCGTGAACACCCCACCAGTGCTGCTGTCTTCACTCCTTTAAAGGAGGAACGGACGAGATCCACTCTGCGTCTGAACAGCCGTTTGAGTGGATACTAAAATTTACATCTCTATGCTGCTATTAATCCATAAGAAAGAAGATTTGTGAGAGCAGCGGAGGCTCGCAAATGTTATTCTCGAACACTAAGGTCAGCCAAGCCCTAAAGTTATCGCCGTGCTTTCTGATCAAATGAGCACAGCCGAGGGAGGCCGCACTATTTGGTCAAAGAAAGACAACAGCGGTTGTCGTCTTCAAGGGCATTAGTCACACCACCTGACCACCCACCCAAAAATAAATTGAGAATTACTTAATCAGAATCTCTAATTATACTGGAGGATTCTGATGAGCTATAAAGCTATTTTTTTTACAGATGTCCAGTAGGGGCGGGTCAGAAAGTTACAACAAACAATAACAAAACTCGATAGGAGTGCAAAGTATAGGAAAGGTAAGATCCCGGTATCTCCAACAGAGATGAGCACTTTACTACATTCATTTGGCCATGGGGCCACCTGTTTACACAGGAACTGCACACGTGAAAAATGCGAGAGGTGTTAAAGAGATGAAGATTTTTGTTGTTGTTATTATTCTTGAACCCAAAGAACAGGAGTCAGTGCGTGTGCACAACATCCTCGGTCCAGCCGCAAACTCTGAATTAGAACCACAACCTATAGTTCTCCCCCGAATGGGGGCCGATTAAAGTTACCCAGGTTCACCACGCTATAACGGTAGGGATAACGGTCCGGAGCAGTGGGGGGAAGATTGTATTCATGTTTACCTCTGTGGAGCCACGGTCCAGAAACCAAGTTGAGGACAGACATCTTCTCCTGCTGTAGCCGCTGCATCTGCTGCTGCTGGTGAGCCTGCCAAGCCTGCAGATGTACGAGCGCACGGTACAGCAGTCAACCTACGTAATTTCCCAATCGCAATGTTGAGTCGTTCACAAAAAATCCATGACTTAACATAAAATAAAAAATGTCGTCCCGCTGATGCCGACTAGGTCAAATTAGGTGGAAAGAAAAGAGATTTCTGCCATCATTGGTGCATCTAGGGTGTCACCGTTACGTCTGCATACGAGTACAGCGATACCTTGACTTTCGTCGCTCCGCTCTTTCGGCCGTTTTCAATTCTAACCACATTTCAAATTTCGTCCACGCGCTTTCCTCTCTCGTCCGATTTCATCCCAAACCTTCCATGACGTTTGCGCCACGCACCATCTTTTTCGCTCAGTCTTTGAAGAGAAGTCGTTCAAGTGAGCATCTCTTACATTTGTGTTTATTCATATGTTATTAATAACTGTACTAATTTCTGTGATTATACTGTAAATAATCCATGGTCATTTTCGTGACAACAGTATAATACTACAGTGTGCACAGTTATTTTGCGATTATAAAACACGTGCACAGTATTCCCTACAGTGCTTATTTTTGTGATTATATTTACTGCAGTTTTTTGCACGTACGTTTTTCGTTGGCCAAAATAAATTTGCAAGCTAAATAGAGGCTCTGCTTTGACATTCGTCCATTTTTGACAGTTGCCGATGCTCTGGTCCCTAACCAGACGAAAATGCAAGGTAACCTGGTTCAATCGCAAGTGGTTTTGTGGATTGGAACCTGGCTCAGTGCCAACACAAGCACAATAGACGCACCACTGAGATACATAGCCACGTGAGACAATTTGCATTTTGACAGCCAAACAACAGCAAGTTGAGGGTAGAATGTAAGTTAACGGTACATGGGACAGGCGCAAAATGTCTCAGTGCACCTGCTCAAAATTCTGCTCCGGCACGGTCCCTCGACCGGTAGAGCTGAGAGCGACGGGGTCAAAGTGCATCGTTCCCAGCATGCCCGGGGAGAACGGTGGCAGCAGCTGCATCTGTCGTGGGTCCTTTCCCGCCGCGACACGGTCGTCTGCCGCCGGATGGGCGGGCCGCAGGTAACCTTCATCCTGCACGCAAAGGTACAACACACGCGTTGATTCTCCACCTCAGTATTGTGAGCTGCCTCTTAGCAGAACTGCTAATTTCATGCAATGTAGCAAGAAACGGATTGCACTGGGGTCCCACTGCCCTGCTGTCGGTGCTATTGGCCTGCATAGAGCTCATCTGCCTCGAGGTATATAGTTTGTGCTTCACCCAGGGTCCCACACTCCGAACCCAGAGACCCCTTAACTGTCACTTTAAAAACGACAAAAGCATGGATGTGGTGCACCTCACAAGGACCAGGGGCGGTGGGGGGGGTTAGAATTTGGGAGATTAAATAACATTTTATATTATATCAGTATTGGTCTCTGTATGCATATATCCATATACCCAGTGACTGCTTATGCTGCAGCCGCTAGCCTAGAAGTGGAGCCCAGGATGGGTGCAACTCTGCAGTCTATTTCTTGATAAAATGGAGAGGAGGTAGTGGATTTGGTATCATGCCAAACTCATAAGTAGAGGTGCTTTGTTTGATTATTGAGTTTTTGAGCCAGTTGGTCCAGCGTTGGGCAAAGGCAGAGCCCTCTTTCCACATCCTTGTTTACGTACGGTGCAAAAGAAGTCCAACCAGAGCACAGACTAGATATTTTCTGACTTATCGCAATAACAACAATTAACCTACACTTAGATTGAAACGGAGCTATACACGAAGCGGAACCTTACAAAACGCACCAAGTAACTGCCCAGCAACTAGGCACACACACACACACACACCACTCCCGAGGCCCTCCTCCCTGTGCGAGCCACCAATAATAATAATAATAATGCCATCTTGTAACGTGCCTCAAGGGTATTCACTCTCATAGACAGAGAACAACTCAGAGGTGATTGGAGGAACCGCAAACAAGCAGGAAGGCAGCCACGAAATGGGTCTGTGCCAGCAACTGCCCAAGCTCTGTGGTCCTCTCTATATTGTGGTGTTATAGGGCAATTAATAAGGGAAGAAACCAGAGCAGCCAGAGAAAAGGCACGCATGCGAATGGGAAGCACTCCATCCCATACAGAGAGAACAGTTGGAGTCCACATTTATGCTGCACCGCATTCTCCTGGCAATGCCCAGGGTATGGCACCTCCTCACGGCCCACGGGAAGGGAGTTTTACAACATTCGCGCGATCCACCAACCCACGCTGCCTCAACAGTGCCCGATTACAGACCAATACCAACACCCGCCATTCGCCACTAAGTGACGGTGACGTCACCTCGGCACCTCTGCCAAGCCAGGTGCGCTTTGATTACAGACCACGTGCATGGCTACCACCGCCCGGGCTAACCCCAACCTTACAGCCAGAGCGATCAACAGCTGCGCACCACCACAGGAACACACTCACCTGTTGCGAAGTATCGCCGTACACCTGCGCTGTCGAGGCGAGGCTGCCCACGAGGGGTTGGAAAAACTCGGGGCCATCGGGATGAGCGGGACTGGAACTCATCCGCCTCTCTTGCCGAGACCCAGCGAAGCGCGGCGGTGGAAGTGGCTCGTCGAGAAGCACGCCGGCTCGTGCCGCGTCCACCACCTCCCAGCGCAGGAACGCCGCGCGCTCCACTTCGCCCGACATGGCCGCTTTGCTCGGGGCAGTCGGCACCAAACGTGGTTTTGTGGCGCTGTGGGCGACGGGGCACTCGGTTATTGGTGCTTTTTAAACGATATTGTTAAGTGCAGAACATGTGCTCCAAACTTCCTCCCATGTGTCCTGCAAGTGTGGAAGAGCTGGCCAAAATCCCCTCTAGTGTTTGCTCTCGTGGAGGCGCCTACCGCCAGCAGTGGTTTGGGCAAGAGATTTCACGGATGCATCTTTACCCTTGTTTCCCACGTGGGTGGATTGTCAAGCGATGCAGAAGAACACCAATGTTGGTCCAAGTGTTTCTGTTCAAATCGACAGTTCACTCCTGATGTTCATCAGAAGCATTCCCAAAAAGCCTAGTCAAGCGTCGTGCGGCAAACGAGTGATGTCCCTTAGCATTGCGCGACTTCGGAGCACATGTTGGAAGGCTGGGGTTATCGAACCAAACGACTGCAGGGTCGTCAATGATTGGGCTGGTTGGCCAGGTCACATCAGCCACACCTGTCGTGCACTTGATGCAATCACACGGACAGATGACAACACAATGTACAAGATGATCTTGGCGAGCCACGGGGATGGCGGGGTGACGTCACTCCCGGCAAATAAAATCTTGGAGTGTGTCAGTCTTCACAACAATTAAGCAGGGAGCCAAACTGAATCCCAAGATCGTTGTCTTCCAGTCATTTAAACACTACGGATAAAATAAAAGTCTCTTTACACGCAAGACGACGGACAACATTCAAAACAACTTTAGTTCAGAGGAATGTGCACAAGAAAAATACACATGATAAACGTATCAACATAATGCAGCTTCAAATAGCTTCAAATAACTAAGAGAAAAATATAGTATAGTAAAGCACACAATTGCATTTGACAATGCGGGAAATCAAAAGATGTATCGCATTAGCAATCCATAACTTTTATTACTCGAATTATCTGACGATACTCTCCTGCGTACAGTGGTGCAAAAGCGCAAATTAAAAAAAGTTATTCAAGAACACTGCCATGAAGAAGGGCCATTGCTCGAAACGTTGCCGATTATATAATTGTATTACCTTTAAAGCCACAGTGTTATTTTACGTACGTGTTGGGATTTGCCCTCATAACCGAATAACCTTCACAATCATTACCATCGTAAACAATCATTACCACCAAGACCATCATCATAAATGTAACGCATGCCGGCTGCTGCCACCTATGCGATCACCCCTTGCTAACCACACACACACACATGTTCGCTGAGAGCGGGGGGAAAGGTCACACGGATAATAGGAGTTTCCATTTGCATTGAATCGATGGTCTGCCAATAATAATTTGGTTCAACACGGACGCTTTCGCGACCAATATTATGCATGACAAAAATTTTGTGGGTTACGCGCTCAAACCCCGCCCCCCCCCCCCCAAAAAAAAACTTCATTATGAATATATTAATTTACTAACCACGTTTGCCGAGCACCGGCCCATAAGCTTTCTGACCCGCCACTACTAGACATCTGTGAAAAGAGCTTCATAGCTCATCGGATTCCTCCAGGATAAATACCGATTCTGATTCCGTGAATGTACCAATGGGGAATTCCGAGGTCGACGTTCACACGGGAAGAGAGCGGGAAGAGAGCGGGAAGAGAGCGGTGTGACCCAGTGAGGCACGTGGGGAGTGGTGCTGTAGCGGTCAGCGCTACGCTGCACTACGAACCTGGCGAGCCGGGTTCGATCGATTCCCGGATCACGACCAACACCGGTGACGATTACCTGAACCGGTCCTGGGCCTCCCCAAGGTCGACTCAGCCTCAAATGAGTACATGTTGCTGTGTGCACACATCGCCACTCGGGGAGACAAAGGCGGCCGGGCGTGGTGCTGGCCCACCCACACCCTCGTGTGCCGTGCCGTGCCGGCCTTCACAGGCGCTGCTCGCTAACAGCACTTGCCCCAGCAGTCTGTCACAGGCTACACGGGGGCTCTGTGTCTTTGGCTGAGTGGGTGGGCGAGTGTGGTGTCGTGACCTGCAGTGCTGTGGTTGAGCAACCACGTGGCCTCGACCAGTCACCCCCCCCCCCCCTTGGTGACACCGCAGTCATCCACGTGAAGTTCACGGCAAATTGATCCAACACGTGAGTGCTGGATCATCAATGAACCAGTTGATAATAAACGACGTTACGGGCAACCGACCAAATTCCTGCCAACGACACAAAAAAATGCGTATGAAGTTGGTCATTGCCCGAAACGTCGCCCGTGTTATTTCCCCGTCAGGGCAGCGCTAACGACACGTGTGTTGTTGAGTTGTTGTTGTTGTTCTTTGTGTACCGTAGCCAACGCAGAATCACAACAACAGCAGCAGCATCAATTGCTGGAAATCAGCCTGTGTTAGTAGCATGTGTTAGTGTGTCAGTAACTGTGTTAGTAGCATGTGTTAGTGTGTCAGTAACTGTGTTAGTAGCATGTGTTAGTGTGTCAGTACCTGTGTTAGTAGAATGTGTTAGTGTGTCAGTACCTGTGTTAGTAGCATGTGTTAGTGTGTCAGTACCTGTGTTAGTAGCATGTGTTAGTGTGTCAGTACCTGTGTTAGTAGCATGTGTTAGTGTGTCAGTACCTGTGTTAGTAGCATGTGTTAGTGTGTCAGTACCTGTGTTAGTAGCATGTGTTAGTACCTGTGTTAGTAGCATGTGTTAGTGTGTCAGTACCTGTGTTAGTAGCATGTGTTAGTGTGTCAGTACCTGTGTTAGTAGCATGTGTTAGTGTGTCAGTACCTGTGTTAGTAGCATGTGTTAGTGTGTCGGTACCTGTGTTAGTAGCATGTGTTAGTGTGTTAGTACCTGTGTTAGTAGCATGTGTTAGTGTGTTAGCACTTGTGTTAGTAGCATGTGTTCGTGTGTCAGTACCTGTGTTAGTAGCATGTGTTAGTGTGTCAGTACCTGTGTTAGTAGCATGTGTTAGTGTGTCAGTACCTGTGTTATAGCATGTGTTAGTGTGTCGGTACCTGTGTTAGCAGCATGTGTTAGTGTATTAGTACCTGTGTTAGTACCATGTGTTAGTGTGTTAGTACCTGTGCTAGTAGCATGTGTTAGTACCTGTGTTAGTAGCATGTGTTAGTGTGTTAGTACCTGTGTTAGTAGCATGTGTTAGTGTGTTAGTACCTGTGTTAGTAGCATGTGTTCGTGTGTCAGTACCTGTGTTAGTAGCACGTGTTAGTGTGTCAGTACCTGTGTTAGTAGCATGTGTTAGTGTGTCAGTACCTGTGTTAGTAGCATGTGTTAGTACTTGTGTTAGTAGCATGTGTTAGTGTGTCAGTACCTGTGTTAGTAGCATGTGTTAGTGTGTCAGTACCTGTGTTTGTAGCATGTGTTAGTGTGTCAGTACCTGTGTTAGTAGCATGTGTTAGTGTGTCAGTACCTGTGTTAGTAGCATGTGTTAGTCTGTCGGTACCTGTGTTAGTAGCATGTGTTAGTGTGTCAGTACCTGTGTTAGTAGCATGTGTTAGTGTGTTAGTACCTGTGTTAGTAGCATGTGTTAGTGTGTCGGTACCTGTGTTAGTAGCATGTGTCAGTACCTGTGTTAGTACCTGTGTTAGTAGCATGTGTTAGTGTGTCCCTGTATTAATGTGTTAGTGTGATTGTGTGTAGCGTGTCAGTAACGTGTGTGTGTGTAGTTTGTAAGTAACTGTGTCTAAATGTGTCAGTGTGCAATTGTATAGTGTAATAGTCTAATAATGTGTCAGTCATGTGTGTGTGTAGTATAGTAATGTGTTAGTGCGTAGTGTTAGTAATGTGTTAGTAATGTGTTAGCAGTGTTAGTGTGTACTGTAGTGTGTACTGTAGTGTGTTAAAGTGTGCAGTGCGTCCGTCTGTAATGTGTCGTGTTAGTGTGTGTCGTCTTCAGAGTAGTGTGTTAGTCATGTGTGGGTAGTGTGTTATGAGTAGTGTCTTATTAGTAGTGTGTTGTTAGTGTTGTTAGTAGTAGTATGTTAGTAGTGTAGTGTGTTAGTAGTGTGGTGTGTTGTTAATAGTAGTGTAGTGTGTTAGTAGTGTAGTGTGTTAGTAGTGGTGTGTTGTTAGTAGTGGTGTGTTGTTGTTAGTAGTGTAGTGTTGTTGTTAATATTGTGTTAGGAGTGTAGTCTTGTTAGTAGTGTAGTGTTGTTGATAGTAGTGTGTTGTGTTAGTAGTGTGTTGTGTTAGTAGTGTGTTGTGTTAGTAGTGTGTTGTGTTAGTAGTGTAGTGTGTCAGTAGTGTAGTGTGTTAGTAGTGTGTTAGTAGTGTAGTGTGTTAGTAATGTGTTAGTATTGTGTTAGTAGTGTGTTAGTAGTGTGTTAGTAATGTGTTAGTAGTGTGTTAGTAATGTGTTAGTAGTGTATTAGTAATGTGTTACTAGTGTGTTAGTAGTGTGTTAGTAGTGTGTTAGTAGTGTTGTAGAGCGAGGTTGTTGTGTAGTGTGTTAGTAGTGTGTTAGTAGTGTGTTAGTAGTGTAGTGTGTTAGTAGTGTAGTGTGTTAGTAGTGTTAGTATAGTGTTAGTAGTGTGTTAGCAGTGTGTTAGTAGTGTGTTTGTAGTATGTTAGTAGTGTGTTAGTAGTGTGTTAGTAGTGTTGAGTGAGGTTGTTGTGTAGTGTGTTAGTAGTGTGTTAGTATAGTGTGTTAGTATAGTGTGTTAGTAGTGTTGAGCGAGGTTGTTGTGTAGTGTGTTAGTAGTGTGTTAGTAGTGTGTTAGTATAGTGTGTTAGTAGTGTAGTGTGTTAGTAGTGTAGTATGTTAGTAGTGTGTTAGTAGTGTTGAGCGAGGTTGTTGTGTAGTGTTAGTAGTGTGTTAGTAGTGTGTTAGTAGTGTGTTAGTAGTGTAATGTGTTAGTAGTGTGTTAGTAGTGTGTTAGTAGTGTTGTTGAGCGAGGTTGTTGTGTAGTGTGTTAGTAGTGTGTTAGTAGTGTTGTTGAGCGAGGTTGTTGTGTTAGTAGCGTTAGTAGTGTGCTAGTAGTGTAGTGTGTTAGTAGTGTGTTAGTAGTGTGTTAATAGTGTGTTAATAGTGTGTTAGTAGTGTGTTAGTAGTGTGTTAGTAGTGTTAGTATAGTGTGTTAGTAGTGTAGTGTGTTAGTGTTGTTGAGCGAGGTTGTTGTGTTAGTAGTGTTAGTATAGTGTGTTAGTATAGTGTGTTAGCAGTGTGTTAGTAGTGTGTTAGTAGTGTGTTAGTAGTGTTGTTGAGCGAGGTTGTTGTGTTAGTAGTGTTAGTAGTGTGTTAGTAGTGTAGTGTGTTAGTAGTGTGTTAGTAGTGTGTTAATAGTGTGTTAGTAGTGTGTTAGTAGTGTGTTAGTAGTGTGTTAGTAGTGTTAGTATAGTGTGTTAGTAGTGTAGTGTGTTAGTGTTGTTGAGCGAGGTTGTTGTGTTAGTAGTGTTAGTAGTGTGTTAGTATAGTGTGTTAGTATAGTGTGTTAGCAGTGTGTTAGTATAGTGTGTTAGTAGTGTGTTAGTAGTGTTGTTGAGCGAGGTTGTTGTGTATCCGTACCTCGCGTCCGCCACCCAGCTACGAAGATGCCGCCTTTCGCTCCCGCCGCGTGACGTCACCGCGCCCCGCCTCCCGCCGCGTGACGTCACCGCGCACCGCCTCCCGCCGCGTGACGTCACCGCGCCCCGCCTCCCGCCGCGTGACGTCACCGCGCTCCGCTTCCCGCCGCGTGACGTCACCGCGCACCGCCTCCCGCCCCGTGACGTCACCGCGCCCCGCCTCCTGCCGCGTGACGTCACCGCGCCCCGCCCTCCCGCCACGTGACGTCACCGCGCCCCGCCTCCCGCCGCGTGACGTCACCGCGCACCGCTTCCCGCCGCGTGACGTCACCGCGCACCGCCTCCCGCCGCGTGACATCACCGCGCACCGCCTCCCGCCGCGTGACGTCACCGCGCACAGCCTCCCGCCGCGTGACGTCACCGCGTACCGTTTCCTGCCGCGTGACGTCACCGCCCACCGCCTCCCGCCGCGTGACGTCACCGCGCACCACCGGGCGCTGAGCGGCGTCGCCCCGCCCCTGTACCGCGTGACGTCACCACGCACCGGAGCTTTTGACACAGGTCCCCCGTGTGACAGACTGTTGGGGCAAGTGCACCTGGCCTGGCACACGAGGGGAGTGGGTGGCCAGCGACCAAGCCCGGCCGCCTTTGTCTCCCCAGTGGCGACTTTTTTTTTACTCACCCTCACCGGGTACCCGTTTGAGGCTGAGTAGACCTAGGGGGAGGCACAGGACCGGTTCAAATGTATAATCAAAATATAATCACTCTTCTTCGGTTCTTTCGGTAAAGTCACGTAGGTAGAAAATAAAATAAATCACGACGTTTCGGGCGCAACACAAGCGTCCTTCATCAGGTGGTTCATCAGGTGGTTGCTTTCCCACCTGATGAAGGACGCTTGTGTTGCGCCCGAAACGTCGTGATTTATTTTATTTTATACCTACGTGACTTTACCGAAAGTTTCAGTTATCAGTTTCAGTTTAATTTATTTTGGTATAGCCCTGTGAGCCATTCGGCTCTTGAATCGGGTGCAACCGCAACAAACAAAACAAAACAAAAAGACAAACAAGAAAAACATCTTAAAGTGGCTTTGTGTGACTGTGCAAACAGAAAATCCATGGATAAAAAACTGCTAAATATTCATTTCTAGATTTGAAGCTTTCGTGACTGCAAGGATCCATCCTCTTTGGTTCTATTCGGTAAAGTCACGTAGGTAAAAAAATAAAACAACAAAAATCACGACGTTTCGGCCACTCCAGCGCTGTCCTCCAGACAGTCTCGTCCCTTCACCTGATGAAGGCCGCTTGTGTTGTGGCCGAAACGTTGTGATTAAATATTCCTGAAAAAAGCACCGCACACCACCAACGCTGTGTGCAACAAATCCCAGCGGGATGCAAGTCAAACAACAACAACAACTTAAATTTTGATTTAAAGCTTTCGTGACTGCAGTAATTCATATTCTTAGTTTTTTCGGTAAAGTCACGTTGAAGAGAAACAACAAAATAACAAAATATTGTTTATTGTTTTATATATATTTTGTTATTTTGTTGTTTCTCTTCAACGTGACTTTACCGAAAAAACTAAGAATATGAACAACAACAACCACAAGAAAAAAGAGTTCAACGTGCGTACAACACGTTTATAACAAGTAGGCTTTCGCGACCAAATATTATCCATAATAAATGTGTTTTTGGGTTAGATCGCGTAAATGTAAACGTGTCGCCAAGCCAAAGAACCAAAGAGTATGGATCCCTGCATTCACGAAAGCTTAAAATCAAAATGTATAATCGTCACTCACCGGTGGTGGTGGTGGACGTGATCTTGGCCGGGCCAGGTTCGCAGTGCTCCCCGTGAACTTCACCAACAAAGGGACCGTCCATAAATGACGTCACGCACCTAGGGGGTGGTGGTGGGGGGGGTCAGACCTTTGTGACGATGTGTGACGAGGTGGGGGGAGGGGGTTTGAGAAATGTGACGTCACATCAAAATGCGCAACTTTAAATAAATATAGACGACACGTTCTACTTAATTAAATATACTTTTTTTTTAATAAATGTTTTCTCCTACAACATCAGAGTGCAGCGCCACATTAAATACGCACTACAATGACAATAGTTTAAAGCGATTTGAAGCATGCTTTATATATTTTTTAGGGGGGGGCAGAGCTTTGTGACGTCATATTTGAGGGGGGGGGTCTGACTTTTTGTGACGCCGTGTGACGAAGGTGGGGGGGGGGGTCAAAAATCGCCCAAAATCGCGTGACGTCATTTATGGACGGCCCCTAAACATCACGAAACATTTGCTAACCATTTGGCCAAGCGGCGTCTTGTGCTTGGCTCAACGAGGGTGCGGCACGGGCTGGAGAAGAGAGGGAGCTGATGCGCTACGGGGAGGATGTGGAACTCGGCGGACTTGCCCGTGACCTGGCACGAGCGGTGTCAAGATCGGCCTCTGCGTGGATGGAGGAGGAGGCTGGGTGAAGGAGGAGGGGGCTGGGTGAAGGAGGAGGAGGCTGGGTGAAGGAGGAGGAGGGGGCTGGGTGAAGGAGGAGGAGGGGTCTGGGTGAAGGAGGAGGTTCCTGTGTAGTTTGGGAGGCAGTTGCCCTCCAGCAACGGCGGAGGGCGCTCGAGCGACGCTCAACAACTACAACTACAACAACTACAACAACTACAACAACAACTACAACAACAACAACAACTACAACAACAACTACAACAACAACTACAACAACAACTACAACAACAACTACAACAACTACAACAACTACAACAACTACAACAACAACTACAACAACAACTACCATAACAACTACAACAACAACTACAACAACTACAACAACAACAACAACTACAACAACTACAACAACAACAACTACAACAACAACTACAACAACAACTACAACAACAACTACAACAACTACAACAACAACTACAACAACTACAACAACAACTACAACAACAACTACCATAACAACTACAACAACAACTACAACAACAACAACAACTACAACAACTACAACAACAACTACAACAACAACTACAACAACTACAACAACAACTACAACAACAACTACAACAACAACTACAACAACTACAACAACAACAACTACAACAACTACAACAACTACAACAACAACTACAACAACAACTACAACAACAACTACAACAACAACAACAACTACAACAACTACAACAACAACTACAACAACTACAACAACAACTACAAAAACAACTACAACAACTACAACAACAACAACTACAACAACTACAACAACAACTACTACAACAACTACAACAACAACTACAACAACTACAACAACTACAACAACAACAACTACAACAACAACTACAACAACAACTACAACAACAACAACTACAACAACTACAACAACTACAACAACAACTACAACAACTACAACAACTACAACAACAACAACTACAACAACAACTACAACAACAACTACAACAACTACAACAACTACAACAACAACTACAACAACTACAACAACAACTACAACAACAACTACAACAACAACTACAACAACAACTACAACAACTACAACAACAACAACTACAACAACTACAACAACAACTACAACAACAACAACAACTACAACAACAACAACTACAACAACTACAACAACAACTACAACAACTACAACAACTACAACAACAACAACTACAACAACAACTACAACAACAACTACAACAACTACAACAACTACAACAACAACAACTACAACAACTACAACAACAACTACAACAACTACAACAACAACAACTACAACAACAACTACAACAACAACAACTACAACAACAACTACAACAACTACAACAACAACTACAACAACTACAACAACAACTACAACAACTACAACAACAACAACTACAACAACTACAACAACAACAACAACTACAACAACAACTACAACAACAACAACTACAACAACAACAACTACAACAACTACAACAACAACTACAACAACAACAACTACAACAACAACTACAACAACAACTACGACAACTACAACAACTACAACAACAACTACAACAACAACTACAACAACTACAACAACAACTACAACAACTACAACAACAACAACTACAACAACTACAACAACAACTACAACAACAACTACAACAACAACGTAGAAATAAGAAATAATAAGAAAATTACAAAATAGAATTATATTGTTTCCAAATTTTTACTAAATCTTGTTCGATTTCATGTGCTTCTCCATCTCTCTTTGTCCCCCCTACATGCTAAGGCCTTGGCACGGAGACCCTGTCTCTCTGTGCCCCATGCGTTGTGTCTCTTTGTGTCTCTGTGTTAACTCCCTCTGCTTAGATGTCTGTATATATGTCTGCGGTTCTGTGTTTCCTCTCTCTCTTAAATTTCGCTCTTCTATGCCTGATGATGATTGCTTGCGTTGCAATCGAAACGTCGTATTCTATTTTTTTATTTTCTTATTATTTCTTATTTCTACGTGACTTTACCGAAAAAAACAAAGAGTAATTCCTGCAGTCACGAAAGCACCGAATCAAGTTTGCCTTATGGTTGTTATTGTTTGACTTGCATCCCACTGGGATTTTTTGCACACAGCGTTGATGTACGGTGCTTTTTCTGGAAGACTTTTCCTGTTTTTCCCTGGATTTTTCTGTTGCGTGTAAGTCACTTGAAGATTACATAATATCATATTATGTAATTATTATTTTCTATTTCTACGTGACTTTACCGAAAGAACCAAGAATATGAATCCCTGCAGTCACGAAAGCTTTAAATCAAACGTTCTACTTAATTAAATAGACTTTTTAATAGATGTTTTCTCCTACAACATCAGAGTACGCGCTACAATGTCAATAGTTTAAAGCGATTTGAAGCATTTTTTCGGGGGGTGGGGCAGAGCTTTGTGACGTCATATTTAATGGGGGGGTCTGACTTTTTGTGACGCCGTGTGACGATGAGGGGGGGGAGGGGGGTAAAAAATCGTCCAAAATCGCGTGACATCATTTATGGACGGCCCCTATGTTATCCACCCGTTGCTTTCAGAAAGCCCTAGCATACATTATATTCAGTGTACTGTCATA